CAGGACAATGACCCCAAACACACCTCCAGGCTGTGTAAGGGCTATTTGACCAAGAAGGAGAGTGATGGAGTGCTGCGGCAGATGACCTGGCCTCCACAGTCACCGGACCTGAACCCAATCGAGATGGTTTGGGGTGAGCTGGACCGCAGAGTGAAGGCAAAGGGGCCAACAAGTGCTAAACACCTCTGGGAACTCCTTCAAGACTGTTGGAAAACCATTTCAGGTGACTACCTCTTGAAGCTCATGGAGAGAATGCCAAGAGTGTGCAAAGCAGTAATCAGAGCAAAGGGTGGCTATTTTGAAGAAACTAGAATATAAAACATGTTTTCAGTTATTTTACCTTTTTTTGTTAAGTACATAACTCCACATGTGTTCATTCATAGTTTTGATGCCTTCAGTGAGAATCTACAATGTAAATAGTCATGAAAATAAAGAAAACGCATTGAATGAGAAGGTGTGTCCAAACTTTTGGCCTGTACTGTATATCAAACCTTTTAAGTTTTGATCAGTCTGCATAATATGGTGTCAGAGTTCTGATCATATTTCATGGCTCACCCTATTTGTTTCCTTTGCTCTGAGCAGCAAAATTCAGCACATCCTCTTTGTAGTATCCATGTTATTTCCACATTAAAACTTAAAGCTCATGAACACACTGAAGTTGGAAGATCCACCGTCAGAGGAACACACGAATGCACCATTGGCCTTCACTGGCAGAGGTCTTGACTCATGTCCGATTTAATCTCCCCTTGCTTGTTTCTTCAGTGCCATTGTCAGCTTATTGTCTCATTCAGCGCTTGCAGCAGGCATGGTGTCTGGACTAGTCCTATTTAATCACTTCTCGTTGACTCACCATAGAAGGCAGCATGAGCAGCACCCTACAATAACAGCAAGTGGGCGATAGAAAATGTTGGGGATTCATGAGCACTCAGACGTTTGACAGGCTAACCAGGTATATATACCGGACACTAAGAGTTGTTCAATAAGATGTTTGTTCCTTTTTCGCCCATCACTGTTATGATTGCCAAATCATATATTAGAAGCTGTAACTAGGCGTGGCAGGTCTATTAGCTAAGATTATGTCTTTTTTTTGTTGCCTTTCCAAAACCAAGAGTAAAATAAGATTAAACAGATTGTTTATGTGCTCTTACACAAAATGCAAATGCCAGTTTGCTCAGCTAACTAGCCTATGTTACCTAAAGAAGTAACCGAACATTAGAGGGAATGGGAACTGTGGAGTAGCGAAGTGGTGCCGCCATCTTGGAATGATAAGTGTCTGTAGCTGCCAGTGTATCATTTGTCATTGTTTGTTTCATCAGTTCTCTAATGTCAATTGTTCAAGTTTAGGTAAGTGTGAAAAACAAAAGTCGATATACAGAGAAGCATTTAACAGAGGCAAATGAGCCAAATATTACAAATTTGAAGTTATTTGTTGGTATTATTCAGGTTTTAATTACAATATTTGTACATGTATAAAGTACATTTGTAAAATGAGTCTCAACTGTTTACGGTCGGCTCAGTGTGATGTCACAGAGATGTTGTACGCAAACCAACTAGTCAAGAGTTTGCGAGGCTGGGGTAGAGATGATGCCCAAAAGAAAAGCCCACATTTCTAGTCAGAGGGAGGAACACACCAACTTTTAAACATTATGAAAGACTTGGATATCGACAGGTTTTCGGGTATGCACAGATATCACAACACCAACCAGAAGGTGGTTGAAAGATTGAAAGACGGAGGCTGTGTTTGCGTGGTCCAACAAGTCCACCGCTGGTAGAAAATTTGAAGAAAAAAATCCTATTTTGATGCAAAACATCAAAATGACAAGCAACTCCAGCAGTTCCACTGTTCTGTATGTTGGCATGATAAACAACATGTTATGGCAAGTTATTCAGAGTATGCATGGTTTCATATAAATGGGAATATTAGTGGAAGTTTCATTTTCATTAGACTTGTAAACTGTATCAAAGGATTATTGTCTTTTTCAGAATGCAGGCTAAAACTGGAGAATTGTGTGCAAGTAAACATAGTGACTGATTCAAAAGATAAACTGGCTAATTTCATGCTAACTAAATGCAAACACATATTACTGCATAACTGATATATTACATTCAGAGTTTTCAATGTTATTCACTGACTTGTGTTTTGTGTTAGTTCAGCATTTCTTTTGGAAACACTCTTACCCTTATTCTTCCAAAATAGCCAAGTCGCTACTGATGACAACACATTCCCATTCCCTATTTCTGAGGCTATTGTTGACTAACTAGGTCTGCAGTAGTTTGAACCCCCACCCCACCATACCACACACACACACACACACACACACACACACACACACACACACAAACATAGACGACTAGCACACCAGACATGTAGTATTTCCCCATTTTGTGGAAGTCCCTCCTGGATGCTATTGAAATTTAAGCTAATGTTAGCAGCTCTTTCAATCTTTTAGAACAATCTACATGAGACTGTACTCTGTCAAAGCCACAACTTGTTGCACTTGATACATACATGATGTAGCTCTCAAGTGCATAAATTTGGTAAGCTGGAAACACTAGAGGTCCAATATGAGATAATGTTTTCATCCCACTCATGAAGCTAATGTCTGTCTTATTTTGCTGGGTGGCTACAGCTCATGAAATCTGCTACCGACTAGTTTTAATGTCAGTCAGCCAATTGATGCATGCTGGCTGGAAATAAGAAGCCTGCTCTTGTGTACCTCTGTCTAAAATGTAGGACCCATTGATTAAAAAATGACTTCATGTGGTAAATCTGCTCCTATTATCATTGCAAACTGCATATTTTTCAAAGACAGTAACCTTGACAGACGTAGAGGAAAAAATCACAAAGCTTATAAAGTGTGTTTTCTGGTTTTATGAACGTGAAGGGATTTCTGAGCTGTATCTGGTACCAGTAGATTTGTCATCCATTCCGTTGTATGAACGTCTCAAGTGCCAGCGGTGGCACTGAAACCTCACACTCTCTCTGCTCTGTCTCCAAGATCATCTACTCATTCAAAGCCGCAACTTATTGCGATGGAGGATCCTTTTTATCTCCAGACTTGCTCCTAACCAATGACATTTCCCCTCCCAAATCAAAAGCAGGACAGTGCTTTTGCTCAGTGAACCCACTGCACTGCCTCCTCAGCCAGATGGATTACATCATCCAGCTGTGGTCAGAGAAAATGCTACTACTGGAGATGGAGAACTGCTCCCCCAGGACAAAAGGTTTTCTGCTGCCTTCAGTGTATTGTTACCACAATTTGGGTTTATTCAGGGCTCCTGTTTAGGCCTGCAAGCCCTATGGATATCGTCCTGGTTGCTTTAAACTGATATTTGGAGGCATTTGTCAGAAAGAGCTAGCACAAATTTGTACTCCCCTTGCCTCTCCTGCAGATTAGTCATACTCCAGCAGAGAGAGTTAACAGGGCATCCATGCTCTTTCTCCAGCTATACCCTCAAACAAATTCATGTGTTCACAGGAGCACCTTAATAGCTGTCACAGTTCTCTGCTGCTGGCCATGAAGGATCTCTGCAGTCAAACCTGGCGTCTGAGAGAACTTTTTGCGGTCTTATTATTATCAAAACAGCATTTGTCACTGCTTCTGTTGTGGTTGTAGAAATAGCTGTCAAGTCTCCGCCCTGCACCATCTAAAGCAGTGATGTCATTCTGTGAGAAACTGGGCTACAGCTACTGGTTTCTTCTTCCAAGAGTGAAGTAGAGCAGCTCAGTGCCAGAGGTTCCCCACCGTCTTTGGCTCAAGACCCCAATTTTAGTTCAGACTCCACTTATTTTAAACAAAGACATTGCTTTGCTATTGGATACTTGTCAATTCGCAGACAGGAATTCTAATGAGTCACAACCAAGGCCATGCTACTTAAGAGTTCTTGAGCACAATAGATATTTATGTTTATAATTCTGTCTAATGTGCATATTGGGCAACCATAAAAGGATGTCCTAATGTTATTGAAGCCACTGTAGTAACACATGCAAGAAAGAACACTCATTTCTGAGTACTGACCAAAACAAAATGACAACAAATCAGGATCCAGCTGTTAATTAATGACTAGCTAACAAGTAGCTCCTGAAGAACTTTGAATAACCGATGGCTGGAAGAAGTGGCGTAAGGTAGTTACAGGGGGCCCCGGGGCACGCTATTATGAAGTGCTTGCAGTACTCCTAAGTACCCTTAGGGGTACCCATACCCCCGTTTGAGAAAGAGAGAGATTGAGTGTTCTATGAATCATTCCTGATTAACTCTGTAGCAGCTGCTTAACAGCATATACCAAAATTAACAAACATCATATTTTGCTGATGGGACAGAAGCCTAAAATGATGCCAGGGGAGCCTTTTGCATCGTAGCTAGACTCAGACGGGTTCGGCAGTAAGAAGGGGTCAGCAGTTTAGGAAAAGATTTTGGATGTGGCAGTTTTGAGTGCCGTAAATGTGGCCAAAAAGGCTGTAACCAATGCTGTTGTTTATTGGTCTCGAACACTGCTCCCCTGGGTCAAAGTCCAGTGTTTGTTGGACCCATCAACCTCCCATCCCACCCAATGTGTGACGCACTGGGAGTGAGACCAGGCTGAATAACACATGCACATTAGGAGTACCCACGTCTGAGCCACTCTATTCCGGCTTAGTCATTTGGCAAAATATGAGTGTTTGGAACATACTGATCATATGTATGGGCAGCGGGAAAATAGGTTTCTGTAAAATATTTAATTTTTTGTCAGACATAAAACCTATAATTAACACAAATCCAAGCTGACCATAACTTCCTGTGAAGGAGGAAAATACAAACTAAAGTTGCCTCTCCTGCCTATAAGTGTTTCATACTTAAAAGACTTTGGGTGGAGCATCCCTTCAAGAAACTCTTTAAGCACCATATTTTAACCTTTACAAATGTGTACCCACTGTTTCTTGCCTGGCTTCAGTGTTGACTGCACTAAGGTGGTCTAATGTGGAAAAGAACGGGGTCAAATTAAACAAGTCCAGCCCTCACCTCTGAGCTCAGTGGCGGCGGTGCAGTTTGAAGAGGCCTTCCAGCGGTCCTGGTGCTTTTTAAACTCCTGCACCCGGCACATGTAGAGCCCCCGGTCCCCCTCAGACACATTCAAGATTACCAGGTCAAATATCTTCCCCTGCTTCACCACCGTCAGCTTCATTTTAGGCCACGGGAAACTCTTTGTGTAGTTGCCATAGAAACGGGCCTTCCTCATATTGACGCGAGCGATGAGGAGTTCATCCTCTGGCCGGTCTGTGCCCTCTGGCAGGAAGGTCCATTTCACCACTGGTAAAGCAGCATTGCGGCGCCGCTGGGACACAACACAGGTGAGAGTGATGTTTTGACCCTCCTGGGCCACTGTGAAGGGGGATGGGGTGATGGTGACGTTGATGGCCAAACACAAATCTGTAAAACATTTAAACAAGTTATCTGAGAACCATTTGGAGCAGTATGTAGCATCAAGATGTCTGGATTTGTTTGGATGACTGATGGTCTCTGCTATTTATGTCATATTTGATAATATTCAATCTCTTCTAAGCTGAAAAAGATGTCAGAGACGTGGAATCAGGTCATGTCTTAACAAAACACATATGAAGTCGTGCTCCTTTCTTGACTGCATGTTGGTTAAAGCAAGCCTTTGATTTTGACAGAGTTAAAGCATCTCCTTAAACACATTCAGCTGTTTCCTGTCAGTCCATTGTTTTGCCCATGGCACAGATGGTTGGCTACACTGTAAAAAACATCATGTAAAGTCAAGTACTGAAACTATGGTAGCAGCCACATTTAAACCAAAATCATTAGTTTGTTTAAGTAGACAAATTTGCCTAAAAAAAGACTTAGAAATCTTTTCCCTCTGCATTTTGGTCAACCTGCTCAGGTTGAAAAATATTAACCTGATGTTGAGAGTACTGACTACATCTATAACATTCCCACCGTCTGCCGGATGATGGCACAAATTTGTTGTTTGCAAACCAAAAGAACAGCAAAAAAGCTGTTTTCCTATTGTTTATGTTGCGTTCACAGAGCAAACAGGATATGATTTTAGTGGACGAGAGAAAGATCGGTAAAATTAGGTGAGCAATGACCGAAAATACCAGCAATGGTAACTTTATTGCTATTTAACGTTAAAATACTTTCTGCTGTCTTCCACAATAGAATTTACAACTGGCTGTTACGTAGCTCCTCTACACAAGGCAAAAACACAGGTGATCTTGACAATTACATGGCATTACAAGAAAAATTCTATTTATTTAAATAATAAACATGAAATAATTATATTTAACAGATTTTATTCCAATAAACAATACAGTATCATCATAGTGTATTGTCATGCATGTTTCATTTCACAATCCTGCCATTCTGTCGGACTACTTGTTTTTTCCCGTGATGTCCAGAAGGTGTTTTTCCGTCTGCTGTCTGATTCCATATGAACACAGCGCTGAGGCACGGTCACACATGAGGCAGGCGAATGAGGTAATATTTGTGATTAATGTGGGCAGTGATTGATGTGACCCACACAGCAAGTGACCTTGGTAGCTAATGTTAGCTAGCTTGCTAATAAATACCACGAAATACAATATTATTGGTACATTTTCAATTTTTTTTAATGTCTGTCTCCCAACTTACTGCCAGCCAGGCAGCATCTCTCATGTGGTGCAGTTTGTCTTATTCATGGCCAACATCATACAATATCGGCTGGTAAAACACAGCAATAATCAATGTCTCCTCCGCACATACTTCTTTGCTAATGGTTGAGGTGCGACTTCGTAGCAAGTTCACTAAAGTTGAACTCTATGCAATGCAAAGATGTAAATTTGCTTCGCCAATCAGAGACAAATGTTCTATTCGCCCCAGGCTCGCAATGAATGGAAGTGAACAGGAGGCGAATATTCGCCAGTGTTCACTTAGCTTGTGTGACTGTGTCCTTAGTGTTTCAGTGTCTGGGCTCAAGTCATTTTGACATGTAAATGGAAAATTTAGATTTATGCACCTTACATAATCATATGTAAAGACCTGTAGCAGGTATAGATAAATTGATTAAAGGATAAAGGTTTATAAATATAATTTAAATCCAAATATAATTCATATGGAGGTGTAGTGATAAAATAACAGTTTCCTCATTTGATGCATTTGGTGAACAGTCAGTGGCACCTTCATTTAGCTCATTATATTAAGAGTTGAACATATTGTAAGATTTTAAATGTGATCATCTGGAATTTTAAATGACTGAAATTCAAAACTGATAATCTAATTTAATAAATGGCAAATGTATTATTTAATTAGCTGATTTTATTAACTTTGATTGAAATTTGACAGTGTAAGACACTGTGGTCCCAAAATTTTAAGATTTGTCTGAGGTTAATAGCAGGATTTATGAGTTTTCATTGCAAAGCTGAAATCATCGATTGAATAGGTCAGTAGTTCTTGACCTTGGAAACAGTAGTTGACCAAACAATCCCCACTCAAAGTCCACTTACAGGGTCCTAAGCCTTTGACTGTATCAGACCTTTACTCAGTTGTCATGAAAGTGAAGATGTTTACTAAATTTGACATTATTTTCATCATCTGTTTTTTCCAACTACTCCTTTCAGGGTCAAGAATAATCTGTTTATCCCGATTGTTCAATGTTTTGGCCAACATGGACAGAGAGTCCTATAAGTGCCCAGAATAAGTCAAAGATAGGTCATCCTATTATGGTATCCATCAAATTTCCATGCAGTTCAGATGAGTTTAAAATTTTCTACATGGTGTCAAATCTGAGGAGTAAATTTCAACTGAAGCTTTGGCTTGTTTAGGAGAAATGACTGAACAATTAACAAGAATTTAAGGAAATGATTCCTCTGAAATTTTCTCTAAAATACAAGCTTGACTGACTTGAAAGAGCAGCTTGAACTGCCCTACAAATAAACTGAAGGTTTGTTCCACTGATAAAAGACATACGTCACATCTGAAGTCACGATAGTTCCCAAATCTAATGGAATTATTGCTCAACAGTCTCCTTCCCGTCATGCTGACACCCGTGTTGTTTTTGGCATGTGACAACATACGTTGGATGAATATTGAGGAACAAACTTTACTGCTGCATGTGGTGCATGACAATATATCACACATCTGTTTCTCCAATTTTGCGCAATTTCATACTTCACACTTTCCATGACACGCAAGCATTTCACTGTCACACAGCTCAGATGCTCTCAGCTCTGCACGTAATTAAAATCTATGCCGTTTTTCTTGACTGTTTTGTCTTTCATTGAGTTGTGAGTGACAGAAGAAAACAAGGAAAGTATAACCGGGACAGCTGGAAAGTGTTGTTTTGGTGTTGCTTGTTGACTTTGAACTCTCAGACTGTCCAATTAAATAATCTGTTTTGACAGAAGACCTGTGGAGTCACCGTAAATGAATGTAAATGCTCTGTTTTACTTTGAAAACCACCAATTTTCACCTTGGATTTCCCTCTCATCTCTGCAAACACATGCAACTTTCATAAACTTGTTATTTTCTTGCCAACATACCCTGCAATCTTACTTTGAAAGTTCATTCCAGCAGAAACTGGACAGCATGTAGAAAGGTTTTAGTTAACAGAACTTCATATCTACCAAAACTACCCTTCTCCATCTCCTCACCCTTCAACCCAACATCCTCTCTGATTCTGTGTTTTCTGCAAAGCTTCTCAGAATAATAGTGGAAAACAGTTTGTCTCCACCACATCCACTTTGGTATGAAGCAAAATAAACTTTTCCTACCTCCAAGCAGTGCTCGAGTCAGGAGAGCGAAGACCACAGAGGAGATCTTCATTTTCCACGGCTGCAGCCTCCATAAACTCCCAGTTAAATGCCTCTAAAGAAAAGAAGCCCCAGGTTTCCTCCTCCTCCTCCTCTTCTTCTTCTCTTTTTTTTCCCCAGCCGAGGAGTGTAATATGAAACATCGGACGCTCTGTTTCTACTCAGAACCTCCCTCTGCCCCTCCCCCCTCATGTCACACACAGAGTGAAAACACATTTGGCAACCTCACGTGCACACACACAAAACACATGCACGCGCACATAAAGCACTAGAAACAGACAGGTGACCATGTGCAAGGACACACATATATATACACACACACACACACACACACACACACACACACTTCTGCTCATGGCAAGTGAGTGGGAAGTGTAATTTCCTGTGCAGGATGGAGGGGCAGGAGGGGTGTGTTGTTGAGATTGACGCTGAGCAAATCACACTTCCAGCTGTGGAGGACAGCAGGCGCAGACCAACGTCAAGGGCTTTTATTTTGGAACACACACATATGCTGACACAGAGGGGAGGAGGGGGTGGGCTGCAGTCTGTGTTTGTGTGTGGGCATCTCTGTGGCCAGTGAAATGATGGAGAAGAACATTTTATGAAGATGAATTCTGCATTTAAAGTTACAAAATGATCCCACAGTTTCCTCAAGTGTTAAACTGGTGTGGTTGCTCATCCTGCTTTTCAAAATTGGTCCTCAAACCCCACATTAGTTAAACCGTTGTGTCTGTGTGTGTCTGCATCTATCTCCCCTCATCTCTTGTCTCATGTAACAGGATCCCACAGTGAATCTTTGTACTGCTCTGGGTTTTCGGGACACTTTGCTGGCTTTTATCAAACCTCAGAGAGCAGCGCTGTGAGGATCTGGGACATTTTTGATTTACTGATAATAAAGGGGACGGCCTATGGGGCCTCATAAGTGCTTCTACTCTGGCGACAGTTTGACAATCACGGCTGTTCCCTTGACAAAGAAGTCCCCACTTTACCAAAGCTCTTAAACTTTCTGCATTTAATGCAAAATGTGGTGTGGAATTCACCAAATTAGGCTCTAAACACAGTGTAAGAGTCCTTGCTCATGCATTTTTCCTGCTTATCATCAGTTCTGCTGACAGCTCTTTCCTTAATGATGTACATCAGATAAAAATAAAACTTTGCAGCATAAAACTACAAGCATGCTAGTCCAGAGCACTGGCTGCAAAGTAAGCAAAGTAAATAGTACATTACTAGCAAATAGCATCCTAAAGCTGCATGAACTGATTTCTCTGGTCAAAGAGAAACTCCGCAACTAGCTAAAAACATAACATCTGGCATCTTATTGCTGCATAAAGTTGTTAAAGCTAATGTGTTAGCAAAGTAATTACACATCAGGCAGACACACATCAGGCAGAAACAGAACAACATTAACAGTCATTTAGTCATGTTTCTAGTGACCAGATGAATGTCAAGGCCCAGACACACCAAACCAACATCAAACAACTAGTGGCAAGGAAGCCTTACTGTTGCACCACTTCACATCAGCCAAAAAAGTTGTGCATGATCACAACAAAAACACTACAGCCAAAGGCCAAGTAGCATGTACATTCTGGGCATGCATGAGAGGAGGTAGCTCTCCTTATCAGCAGGCGGGGGAAGTCTGTATTCATCATTGAAAAAAGGTGAACTGAAAGACTGACAAGATGGATTAAAGATGCTTGTTAGCCAGTTAGCACAATAACAACACAACCTGATGTTGAAAGAACAGATTATATTTACTGAGCACCAGCGAACAACAACACAAACAATAACAAACTCTTTCTGCTTAAGAGATCAATAGTTTAAAAAAAAAAATCTTATATAATAAGTTTGTTTCAATTTCACACCCTCTTGACTTTAGCTGTTTGTTTGCTTTCCTCACTTCCATTTCTCTTCTCACCACCGGGCCGCAGGTTCGACACTGATTCAACATGCTGAATTGAGTGAAAAACAGCCGACAAGGACCAACGCGTGCCAAAGCTGCACACACTGCAAGAAGTAAGGCAACAGATGCTTACCAACGGCAAGACATCGATTAACCACCAACCATTGGCTTATAGGCTCTAAGTCCAAGCACGATGTTATCTTGCCAAGTTGGACATGCTCCTGGATCAACATCGTACATCGCGTTCCTGGACCAGCATTGCAATCAACCAATCACAGCCCTGTGACATCATCACCGCGCTGCTTCTGTGCTTCTTCAGAGCTAAGCTAGTTTTCCAAATTGAAGTTAGTACAATTAAACAAAATCCTCAGTAACACTACGCTAACGCTACTGCAGGGTTAGCAAGTTAGCTTGCTAACTAGGTAGGCTATGCTAACATGTAGGCTTGCAAATAGGCTAAAATATTGCTCACTAACATTAAGAGTAAGGACAATATCATTTTGCAGTTGCAAAGATCTGCCTAAGTCCAATATTTACTCTCCCTTTAACTCTGTTTTGGTCTCCACCAATCACTGAGAAAATGATCACGCTAGCTTGCTAGCAGCTCAAATTTATTCAACAGCCACTTGCTAATTTGTCTGTCTGTCTTTTGGTACCAGGCTATAAAACCAAAACAGTAAGCTGAAAATGCTAAAAGGCTACTCACATCCAGCACACTGAACAAGATTAGCAATTAGGCTACTTGGAATCGTTTTATTTTCCACTTTGATTGGTACATCCAATCAGTGTTGCCAACTCTCTTCCAATGAAAGTAGCTAGCACTTGCTCCAAAAGTTGCTGAAAGTCGCCAGATGACATCACATGCTCATTTGCATATTGGTGATGGCATCAGTATCTTGCCTTTATTTGCATTTAGGATAATGGAGGCATTGAAACTTCAATGCATTGAATTTAATAGAAAAATCCGCAACAAGACATTTGAATGACATGTTTTAAGAAATGATGACTGATTGTTATAAGAAAAATACCGATGATAGCAGCTTTAATTATTCCTTTTGTGGATCGAGCCAAACTGTAACATTAGCTTGTCAAGCAGAAGTAAACAGGACCTTTACAGCTGCAGCTCTATCTGTACTGTGCAGTACTGTGAAGAATACAAAGGTGAAGAAATGAAGACATCTGTTAGTTATTATTCTGTGTTTGCATATATGGTTACCAGGATATTAGAGAAGGTTTTTTACTTGTTCTTCTTCATCCATCTGTGGGCTTGGGAGGCAGTCTCACAAACTTGGCAGTACACTCAGACTCCTCATTTGGATGATATAGGTCATATGGTAGCTGTAACAGTGCCAAAACCCTGTATCTGTTGCCTGAGCAGTAAAGGTGCTTGCAGTTAGTGCAACAGTTCAGTAAGTTAGATTTACATTAAATTTATATTTATACAGTTGGTTTTTGAAGGTTGAACCTCGGCTTTTAAGCCAACATGGACAAGAAGTCCTTTGAGTGCCAGAGACTGGAAACTACGAAAAACCACTATTCCATGAAAACAGGGCAAACTCCATGTACTGATGAAGATCATGTGGTATAGTTGAAAACTACTAAACTGAACTTGCAGTGAGATTGTTTTCGCAACTTTTTAAATAGTGTTTGTACATTTCTAACTCATTTTTGCTCTCAAAATTCATTTTTTCTTCTTCAATCTGATGTTGTGTCCACTCTAATCGATTTCTGTGGGAGAGCGGGATTTGATATTCCCTAACCGATCACCAGAGATCAAAGTATCAGCCTGAATCCTCATTTTAGGTCCACACTGATGCGTAGCCATGCTGACAGAAGTGTTTTGCCAGGGTTTTTAGAGTGGAGCAGAGCGAAATAAAAATAAGCTACGATGTTGGGTGATAGAGAAGATTTAGAATTCGATTATCTTGAATTCGACTATCTTGTCTATGGCGCTTGTCATCGTTGTTGTTAGCAGTAAAAGAAGATATACTTTGTTAATCCCCGAAGGGAATTTTTTTTTCTACCCTGCTATCATAAACACACAGACCACACAAACAGGACCTATACATGCGTTAAAAGGAGAGATGTCAGAGCGAGGGCACTGCCCATGGACAGGCGCCCTGAGCAGTGGGGGGTTTGGTGCCTTATCAAGGGCACCTCGGCAGTGCCCAGGAAGCAAAGTGGCAGTTCTCCAGCTACCAGTCCACGCTTTATATTTGGTCCCATATTTGACCCGGGGACCCTCCAGTTCCCAACACAAGACCCTATGGACTAAGCTACTGGCGCCCCATTTACTCCGCATTGGTTTTGGCACACCCCTTGACAGCAGCATTAGTCCTGCCCATGGTGCTGATTGGCTTATCGCGTCCGCCCACTCAGCTCATTGGTCATTTCTAATTTTAATCAAGAAACGGCTTCATGTCATGATGCACAACAAATCGATCGGCTCAAACCCAATGGAACAGGCAGAACCAAAGGTCTGGACCCAGGTAATTGACGTTCTGCTCTCCTATATACTTTCTACTTTAAAGTGCCTCAACAAGCGTAAAGCTGATTTCAATGTTAAGTGTCAACTTCACTTTCTGCTGTCCAATAACCACAGTACCATGCTAATAAGCTATTTCTTTGAATACATAAATCCTGCAGGTGGAAAAATGCTACAAAAAGAAATGAGAGCTGAGATTAAGAAAGCATTTTTTTATGCTGATAGGGATGTTGCTCCATGAGGGGAAACTTGGACACATTGTCATTGACCAGATGTGATTAAATGTCATGATTAAATCAGATTATACTCTGACCTGAACACAAGTCATCAAGATACAAAAAGACGTTCACAAGACTGGTCTGGTGCTCAGATGCTGGTCTAAGGTTGTTGTTTTTTCTTGGAGGTAAATATCACCCCCTTGTGGATAAAGTATGAAATGCTTATTAGTTCAGAAGATTTCTGCTGAGTGGTGCTAAATAATACAGTTTGTGTGTCAGTGGAGCAGCTGGAATTTCCCAAAGTAGAGTTCCACAGAAGATAAAGTCATTCGGGCTGAAACCTAGATTGTTAAGATTGTCAAACAACACAATTTTCCACAGCCAAATACAAAAAGCATTATGACAAATAT